GGTCCTGGGATTGAGCCCTGCGTCAGGCTCCCTGCTCAGTGGGTAGCCTGCTTCTCCCTCTCCCTCTGCTGCTCCTCCTGCTTGTGTTCTTGCTCTTGCTCTCTCTCTCTCTCTCAAATAATAAAATCTTAAAAAAAAAAAACAAAAAAACCTCGCCTCTCCAGTGAACCTATTTTTAAAAATGTGTTTATTCCACTCTAATTCTGCATTTAACGATGGCATGAAAGGGCAATTTGTGGACAGGAGTGAACATATTAGAAACGACCCATCTCGAAGTCAAAAGAAAGGGCGAGGAGTGTCAACTCTGGCTGGTGAAGTGACAGACTCTGAGAGTTTTCCACGGGGAGCACGCTCCGTGGGTGGGTTTGTGAAGGGCATGCCATGGTGCGCAGAGGCAAAGCCTGGAGCCTGGCACTGCATTCCCTGGGTCAGCCGGGCCCTTCCACTCCCGTGTCATTCACAAACTCTGGGAGGGAGGCACCACCAGACCCACCCCACCAATGGGGAAATCTGCTCGAGAACCCCCCATTGGGAAGAGGTGGGGCTGACACTCAGCCCAGAGCAGAGATCCAAAGTTAGGACTAGCTCTCTATCCTGAAGCCCAGAGATTGGGCAGAGAAAGGTGGGGAAAGGCCAGAAGGTACTCCTGAAATGAACAGTCTGTGTGTTCACTCTGAAAAGGTCTCCCTACATTTAAGCTTTTTGTAGACCAAGCTAATTAAATAAAATCCAATTTTTATAAAATAGGTAACTGTTTCAATACAAAGTAAGGCTTCAAAACACCCAAGGTTTTTCTGATCAGTGAGGAATATGGAAGGAGACTGGGACTTGCAGCAGCGGCCTTGGGGGCTAATCTCAACTCCAGCTCCGCTTCATGATGTGACCTTGAGCAAGTCGAGACTTCTCGGTCTCAAGTTTTCTCATCCTCTGTTCATGCTACCCTGGTATATTCCCACTGCACCAGAATAAAAATCTCTCCTCCTCCCTGGGGACCTGACCCTGCTGGGCTCAGTCCCCTCTCCTAACATTATACCCCTCACTGAACACACACTGAACTCATCTGGGCCTCAGGGCCTTTACACACACCGGTCCCTCAACCTGGAGTCAGCCTGATCTTTCCACAGCCAATATCATTCTCACTCAGGTTTCAGCCCAAAGTCACCTCCATAGGGGATTTTCTCTGTTCTCCTAAACTAAATTAAAAATATCCCTCTCAATCGTGTTTCCTTACTTTCTTTGTAGCACTTCTCACCAATGGGTAACTTATTCGTGTACAGTTGACCCTTGATCAAAATCGGTTTGAATCATGTGGATCCCCTTATACACAGATATGTTTTTTACAGTACAGGACTGTAAATGTATTTTTCTTAGGACTTTCTTAATAGCATTCTCTTTTCTCTAGCTTATTTCATTGTAAGAACACAGCATATAGTATATAATGCAGAACATACAAAATATGTGTTCATCGACTGTTTATGTATCAGCAAGGTTTCCAGTCAACAGTAGGCTACTGGTAGTTAAGTTTTGGGAGAGTTAAAAGTTATACGTGGATTTTTGAATGCACAGGGAATTGGCAGGGTCATGCTGTTCAAGGGTCAACTGTATATATTTATTCTTGGCCACTCCCTTCCCCCATGGTAAGCCCCATGAAAATGAGGACTGCCCAGAACTAGCCCAGCACACAGCAGGGCCAACACACATTCTTGAATCAAGGGCATATCATACAGATGATCTTGAATATCTGTTCTGGGCATGACATGATGGAGTTCTAACGTAACGCATTGAACAGAAAAATCCAGAAGGCCCAAATCTACCCCCAAATCAGTGTCATGGGTGATACCATCAGAAATACATAGAGTTAAATTCCAGACTCACTTCTTTCAGATGTCTGTAGAGGAGATCATTGTTTTTCTCTAAGAATCCTGTAAAACATTGAAAATTATTTGAATCGCTGGTTTTGCCTAAAAATGCAATTTCATCCCAACTGACTGCAAAGGGAAATCCTGAGAATAATCTCCTAGGCTCAGATCAGAGTTTCTCAGCCTTGGCACTACCGACATTTGGGGCTGGAGAATTCTTTGTTGTGGGGACTGTCTTGTGAATTGTAAGATGGTCAGCAGCAGCCCTGACCCCTACCCACTCGATGCCAGTAGCACCTTTCCCAGCTGGGAAAGACAAGTTTGTCTCTAGACATTGCCAGATGTTCCTGGAAGACTAATCCCATCCCTGGTTGAGAACAAGGTCCTCAGAATTGAATTTATGGCGCACACACACTATCCTCTAAGCTCTCACGAGCTATCACATGAATGTAGAGCCTCTATGCTAAGTATCGTATACATGTCCTAGTCCAGTAGCAAAGAGCTATGCAAAAAAGGAATGACATCAAGGGGTGCCTGGGTTCCTTAGTCAGTTGAATGTCTAACTCTCCCTTCTGGCTTGCAACCTGATCCCAGGGTCACGGGATCGAGCCCGGTGTCAGGTTCTGTACTCAGCTTGGAGTCGGCTTGCCCCCTCCCTCTTCTCCTGCGCATATTTGCACGCCATCTCTAAAATAAATAAATCAATCGAATCTAAAAAAAAAGGAATGACATCAAAACAATGCAGGGAGGATTGAATTTCAAGAGTGGCCAGGGGAAGCCAGGTGAGAAAAATCATCCCCACCGCTGAGGAAAGTGAAACGGAAGCATCACGACTAGAGGGACCCATATCTTCATACAAAGGAGGATGTGCCATTTCCAATTTTAAAATTTGGTTTTTAAGTGCTCACTTAAAACCTAGTCAGTTAATAATAATTATATTAGTAACTAAATGACGTTACAAAACCAGCACCAGGGGCGCCTGGGTGGCTCAGTGGGTTAAGCGTCCGACTCTTGATCTCAGCTCAGGTCTTGATCTCAGGGTTGTGAGTTCAAGCCCCGCATTGGGCTCTACACCGGGCATGGAGTCTACTTAAAAAATAAAAAAATCAAAACCTGCTAAAAAAAAAAAAAAAGACATGTATCAAAAACATCTAAGATACAACCTTTTGAGAAGACTATTTGGAGCTATCAAAACTAACATTTTTATTATGGTAAAATATAAATAACTTAAAATTCAGCATTTTAGCTATTTTTACGTGTCGGTGGCATTCAGTACAGTCACACTGTCGTGTAACCATCACCACCATCCGTCTCCAGAACGCATTTCCTCAAACTGAAAACTGACCCCATTAAATGCTAATTCCCCATTTCCCCTGATAACCACTTTTCTACTTTCTGTCTCAGTGAGTTTGGCCACTCTAGGCACTTTGTCATCAGAATCATACAGTTTTTGTCCTTTTGTGACTGGCTGATTTCAATTAACAGAGGTTTTTTCAAGGTTTCATCCGTGTGGCATGGTGTATCAGAACTCCTTTCCTTTCTAGGACCGAATAACAGTTCCGGCTGTTTATGTAGAGCTCGACCCATGCAGCCATTCACGGGCACTTGGATTGTTTTCATCTCTTGGCTACTGTGAATAATGCTATGAATGTGGGTGCACAAATATCTGTTCAAGTCCCTGCTCTCTTCAGGTACACACCTAGAAGAGGTCCAAACTAACTTTTTTTTATAAAGATTTTATTTATTTTATTATTATTTTTTAAGATTTTACTTACTTATTTGACAGAGAGAGACACAGCAAGAGAGGGAACAGAAGCAGGGGGAATGGGAGAGGGAGAAGCAGGCTTCCTGCAAAGCAGGGAGCCTGATGCGGGGCTCGATCCCAGAACCCTGGGCTCATGACCTGATCCAAAGGCAGACGCTTAACGACTGAGCCACCCAGGCGCCCCGAGATTTTATTTATTTTTTGACAGAGAGAGACACAGCAAGAGAGGGAACACAAGCAGGGGGAGTGGGAGAGGGAGAAGCAGGCTTCCTGTGGAGCAGGGAGCCTGATGCAGGGCTCGATCCCAGGACCCTGGGACCATGACCCGAGCCAAAGGCAGACACTTAACGACTGAGCCACCCAGGTGCCCCCAAACTAACTTCTGATAGAAGCTTTATTTTTTTAAAAATTTTATTCATTTATTTGAGAGAGAGAGAGAGAGAGAGAAGAGAGAGCGTGCAGAAGTAGGCAGAGTGGCAGGCAGAGGGAGAGGGAGAAGCAGGCTCTTGGCTGAGGGCTCAATCCCAGGACCCTGGGATCACGACCAGAGCCAAAGGCAGCTGATTAACCGACTGAGCCACCCAGGCGCTCCCTGATAGAACCTTTAAATGAGCAATGCGCCACTTCTGGTTCCAGGAATTCAGCCTATGTATATAACATGCTGCGATGAGCCAAGTGAAATATGCAAAGACGCAAACACAGCAGTGTTTACAAGAGACAAAGCTGGAAACAAGCAGTGTCCAGCAAATGGGTCAAAGGACACAGCCCTAGAGGGAGTGCCTGCAGCCTCTCAAAAGAAACGTGGTGGGCTCTGTAGGCTGCTGTGGAGAATGGATAATGTATGATAATAATAATAAAAGGGTTCTGTGAGCTTTAAGTGAACAGAGGTAAAGCACTGGGACAGTGCCTGGCCCCCAGTAAGTGCTCACTGAGTGTTAATTGGAATCCACATGATCTCTAATAGTCATTAAATGAAAAGACGCAAAACAAAGAATACAAAATAATAACCTGTGTTAGTTTTGGGTGCACATGTGTGCTGTTTGGATGTGTATGTGTGCACCTGCATGTGTAAGAGATTTCTATTTTCCTGAAAAAGTACAAGAAACTGTTGGTTCTTGTGGTTACCTCAGGGAGAAGCTAGGAGTAAAGGGGGCTTTTGGTTTCCTTTTTGGACTTTTCTGTATGGACAGCAACTTCCAGCCTTACATGTATATTATTCTTTAAACAAAAATCAATTATCTGCACAGAGAGAGTCATCTTATTTTTAAATGTTTTCTGTTTTTATACCACTGGGAATTTAAGAGAAAAAAAATGTATTGCTTTTTAAAGATTCTTAGCAAAATAAACTTACTCCGAAGTGAAAATAATTTAGGAGTGCCTGGCTGGCTCAGTCGGTAGAGCATGTGACTCCCGATTTCGGGGTCGTGAGTTCAAACCCCACGTTGGGCATGGAGCCTACTTTAAAAAAAATAAGCACCGTGTGTTATATGCAACTCATGAATCATTGAACATTATATCAAAACCAATGATGTACTAAATTTAAAAAAACATAAAAAAAAGAAGTGAAAATAATTTAGAACCTAAAGCAGAAGTGACCAACGAAAATGTTTTTTAAACGTTGTGAAAGAAAATGTTCACAGGAGCATTATTACTAATGGCTCAAAAGTGTGAACACACCCAACTTTCATCAACTGATGAAAGGATAAACAAAATGAGGTCTATCCGTAGAATGGACTATGATTCAGCAATAAAAATAATAACATGGGAGAACCTCGAAAACACGATGCTAAGTGAAAGAAGCCAGACACAAAAGACCACACATTGTGAGACTCCATCTGTACGAAATACTCAGAAGGGTCAAATCGGCAGAGACAGAAAATAGAGGAGTTGGTAGCCTGGGGCTGTGGGGGAGGGGGCTGGGGCAAACAGAGTGGTTGCTGATGCATGCGGGGTTTCTTTTTTGGGGTGAAGTGTTCTAAAATGCACTGTGGTGATGGTTGTGTAACTACAGGGTGAATACAGTAAAAACTACTTAAACTGTACTCTTTAAACGGGTGAAACGAAGTGGTTATACGGAAGTCATGAATAAAACCCTTCAGATGGCATGCCTGCAAGCAGGGCTAGCGAGCTTTTGGGATGGACCGACAGCCACGTCTTCCGTGGACACAGGGGCACCTGCGCGGCTGTGATACTCGCCTTGGGCGCAGTAGGTGACCTCCCCTGCGTAGTGGGAGAGCCGGAACTCCATCCAGCCAATCCTCTTCCGGCCCTTCGGCCCCGCCAGCTTCCGGCTGCGGCAAGACAGAAATAGACACGAACGGAACCGTTCTAGGTCGCGGCAACAAAATGCCCCAATATGTGAATCGAAGAGCGCGAGAGAGGCCTTGACAAGTTGTTTAGGAACATGACAATCGACTGAAGGCCAGCACTGGAAGCCAAACGCGCATAGGTCTCTCTAGTATTAGATCCCTCTCTGTGCAGAAAGGGGAAGGCTCTTGCACTGGTGGTGGGCATGCAAGCTGGTGCAGCCGCTCTGGAAAACAGTATGCAGGTTCCTCCAAAGGTTAAAATAGAACTACCTTACGATCCAGCAAATTGCACTACTAGGTATTTACCCCAAGAAAACAAAAACACTAATTCAAAAGGATACATGCCCCCCCACCCCAATGTTTATATAAGCAACATTAACTACAATGGCCAAATTATGGAAGCAGCCCAAGTGTCCATCGATTGATGCATGGATAAAGAAGATACACGGTGTGTAGATATACAACGGAATATTACTCAGCCATAAAAAAAGAATAGAATCTTGCCATTTGCAACAACATGGATGGAGCTAGGGACAATAATGCTAAGTGAAGTCAGAGAAAGACACCATATGATTTCACTCATATGTAGAATTTAAGAAACAAATGAACAAAGGTGGGGGGGGGAAGGGAGAGAAAGACAGATCAAGAAACAGACCCTTAACTATAGAGAACATACCGATGGTGACCAGAGGGGAGGTGGGTGGGGGGATGGGGAAATTGGTGATGCGGATGAAGGAGGGCACATGTGGTGACGAGCACCGGGGGTGATGTATGGAAATGTTGAATCACTATATTGTACACCAGAAACTAATTTTATACTGTATGTTAACTAACTGGAATTGAAATAAAAACTTAAAAATTGGATCCTTTTTCTAAGAACTGAGGAATTAAAAAAACACATGTGAGCCACAGAAATACGTACTTATACAATGAAATAACTTCTATTTTTTTCCAGGTGATAACTAAGAAACAATTGTACTGCCTTACATTTTTGTGATGTTGAGTGATTAAAATGCTCACAAAAGATCATTTTTCAGATTCTGGTGATTCCTAATTTTTTAGAGCCTTTTCTTGAAATGTATACACATATATACTGATAGCGCAGGTATCCTAAGTATACAGTTCAGTGAATTCTGGCACAATAATCACATCCATGTAACCAGCACTCAGATCAAGAAACAGAATATTACCAGCCCCCTGAGAATTACCCCCACCACCACCTTGAGCCCTTTCCAGTTATGACCTGACATCTAACACAACAGGATGGTTTTTATCTGATTTTAAACTTCGCAGAAACGGAATCATACAGTATATATTGTGTCTGATTTCTCGTTTACATGTTCTGTGATTTACCCACATCACTGCATGTAGTTGCAGATTATACATTCTCATGGCTATCTATTATTCCATTTGTGAACATACCACAGTTAGTTTTTCTATTTCTGATTCATTTACTTATCCTTGCCATATTCTACAAAAGCTCTGATAAAGCCACTACCCTTTACTGAGTCTTTGCCACGGACAGAAATTGTATTAGATAATTTAGGTAGCTACCCGCTTGGTATAGTAATATGTCACAAGTCTTGTAAGTGGCTGAGGGATCCAAGACCAGGGCTTTAGGACTCCTGAGCATGACATATTCAACTCTTCTCCTCCTTGTCTCAAAGACTAAGTTAAATTTCTAGTCAATTTTCTGGGATGTTATAAATGCTCTATATCTTGATCTGGTGGTGATGATGAGGGAGGTACATACAAGGTAAAGATTCAGATATATGCATATCACTATATGTATTTTATATTTTAAACCTAGCTTTCAAAAAAGACCATTAAAAAAGACTATTTGATGCATGTGACCCTATCCAAAATGTAACAATCATAAAGAAAGATACAAAATCTTAGAACATTCTACCTGGAATTCATTTGAATTTGATTTCTACTAACAAAGGGTATGCATATATATGACTTGGTGTATCATTATGGTGCATCACATTTCAATGTATGAAGAAGTGAGCGAAGAATAACTATGGGGTCCACTGCCCAGATACCCAAGAAAGTGGATATATGATGAGCTTCCCCATGCAACAGCTTGTCAAGTGAGATACATACGTTTGGAAGTGTGCATGCTTGCCTACTTTCTCTTCCAATTTCTCCAGGAAACTCAAGTCTGTAGCAGGACCAGGACGGATACATTCTTCATCCTTCCAGAGAAGAAGAGAGGACTCGATCTGTAGCAGCCATCACATGCCATCAATTCTAAGTTTAAATGTCCTCACCAGCTGTGGCAGAATGTACTGGACTAAAATCTTGTCATCTAACACAAGTTCAAGTGAACATTGGAGGTGGGAGGGCAGCTATCTGTTACATGTGCCTAGCGTCTCAGAGGGATGGGAAATTCTTTGAAAAATCAACTCTCCCACCCATCAGACTGCTATATTCCAGAGTCTTCCCAAGGACACTTCACAGCCTCCATGACCAGCTTACTTAAACATACCACCTCATCTTCTCTTAACCAGTCATTGCTGGCCAAAAACAGACCCCCTTTTACTAGGAGCAAAATCTTCATGGAAAGAAAGCTGCGTCTAATTTCTCACATTTCTCCAGCTGTGTCTATTTCCTATTTTGGGTCCTTAACATTGTTAACATTTAATAGGCCATCTTAAGAAATGAATCAACCCTGCAGTTTTTATTAAAACACCAAGGGGGAAAAAAAAAACCCACCAGGGTTCAGGTTGGTGAGACAACTCTCTTTAAGTAGCATCTCTATGCTTCCTGATTCCATCTATGGAAAACCACACAGAAACAAGTATTTATCACTAAAATATTTAAAAATACTAGTCTAGCCATCCATATGAGCATGGAGTGCGCACAGAACAGTTTAGGTCAGTCCGCACTTCCGGGAACGTGCTTCTCCGGAGGTCCACACTGCCCTTCCCCGACCAGCTTACCTAAAACTGAATCGTCCTCCCCACCACATGTAATCCTGTCTGCTTTTTTCTTCATTGTACAACCTACTAATTTTGCCCACTAACCTGTTTCTTGTCAGTCTCTGTGCTAGAATTTAAAGTCTCATGAGTGTAGTGGTTTTGATCTGTTTTGTGCACTGCTGTGTCCCAAAGAACAAGGTACAATCATGGCACCAAGTAAGCACTGATGAGTATCTGTTGAGTGAACAGAGTCTGAATGCTTACCACACAGCAGCATAATTCCAAGCCCTGTGCATACACAATCGCAACTGGTCCTTACAACTCCTCTTAAGTGTTTCCCAGGAAATACTCAGAGAAAGAGTGAAAAATAATTCTGAGTACTAGCACTGCACCCACTTAAAGACAAGGATATTGGAGCTCAGAGAGGTTAAACCACCCACCCAAGTTTACACAGCTAGTGAGCAATGGGGTGGGGGGAGGGCTGGGATCTGAATCCGGGTGGTGCCCATGTCCCTGGTAACTACAGTCACCACCCATTAATATCCCTATTGGGCTTTAGAATCTTGTTCCCACAACAGTTAGGTGGAGGAGGGGGCAGGAGGGGAAAAGGGACCTGTTACTCTCATTAGAAGGGAGAGGATCACAAATGGCAAGGCAAAGAAATAATTTTTCATTCGCCTTTAGATTTAAAAACAGTGATGTCTAAATTGGAACAATTGTAAGTTGGTGGCCATGGGTGTTCTCAGAAGGTGCAACCGTTCAAGATAAAGTCACAGGTGCATCCCAAGGAGCCTCAGCTCAGGATCAACGGACGTTCTTTATAAAACCTTCCTTTATGTTTTCTGGTTTTCTGCTCGGGCTAAGCAACCCTTTGAAGCCCAGGGGGAAATTCTTCTGCGTGTTGGCAACACTGTACGAAGACTCTAAGCCAACATTAATTTTCTCACCAGAATGGAAATGATTCCTTTGTGTCTCTCTTCCACCAAATCGCAGATGATCTTGTTGTTGAAATACTGAATTGGCTCCCACTAAAATGACAAAGAGAAAAGAATTCTCCAAGGAGGATTTAGATGAACATAAAATCTCTCTTTTAAAGTGATTTTCCAAAGCTATTTTTCCAAAATCTGATTTTTATCTCCAACATTAAAAAAAAACTTTCTGAATGTCAAAGTAATTTCCTAGGAAATACTCAGAGAAAGAGTAAAAAATAATTCCC